TTCCCTTCCCTTCCCTTCCCTTCCCTTCCCTTCCCTTCCTTTCCCTTCCCTGTTATTATAAACATCCCTCATATCAATGTCATTATAGGCAAGCCTTTGCATGTGAGGCAATGTGAGGTTACATTCCTGGAAGTGAAGTTGCTGTGTCAAATAAACACGTCTTTAAAAACAATGCATATTTAAAGAGATATTGTCAAATGATCTCCCAAAAGACTGCCTTAGTTTATTTCTTAGTATTGTCAAAACATCATGTAAACTTGTTTTCTCAAACCCCCACCAGCATTGAGAATTGGGGGGAAAATCTTTGATCTTATTCAGTTTCATAATATAAACCTGATATTTCATGTGAATCTGTATTTCTTTTACTATTCTTAATGAGATTGAAGACTTTTTCTTCTGAGTAAGATTTCATTTCCATTTGTCATTTTACAGTAGAAATAATTGGTCTTTTTAAAAAAAATTTAATTTTCCAGGGGCTCCTGGGTGGCTCAGTTGGTTAAAGTGTCCAAGTCTTGATTTTGGTTCAGGTCATGATCTTACAATTAATGGGTTCAAGCACCATGTTGGGTTCCACACTCACAGTGTGGAGCCTGCTTGGGATTCTCTCTCTCCCTTTCTCTCTCTCTCTCTCTCTCTCTCTCAAAATAAATAAATAAACTTATCCAAATGATCATTAGCTGATTATGGAAAAAAATAATCTTATTGAAGATGGAGGATAAAAGTAAACCAATGAACACAACCAGAAGCCAAATTTTCTGTCTTACTTTTAGCCAATGATTGATATTAGCCTTATTCTATAATTGATTTTGCCTAATTTTTGCTTTTCGGGCAGTGTTTTTGTTTTCAGTTACTTTTAGAAAGGTTTTACTTCTGCTTGCAAAAAAATTAAATTTCAGTTTTGAATGACTAGTTTTTTAAATAAAATTAATCCACTAAGGATACCTTTAAACCAGGACATACCTTAGATATTTTAAGAATTATTAAGGGAGAGCGAAATAGCCAGTGTTTAGGAAGCCATTTGATTCTTTTCCAAGTTATCCAGAAACAAAGTTAGTAAGTGAGGTTTGAAAACATTACAACCTTTTGTGTCAAATCCCGGGTAGGTCGATACCATCTTTTTAGTATATCATAATTTTATTTCAAACTTTGATTATCAGCATCATCAATAGGTATAGGCAAAGAGGTTCCTTTTTAAAATTTTTAAGAGAACCGTTGGTGTTTTAGTGTAGCTCAATTGAACCTCGGATAGCTCAGTTCCTTATTTGTAGAATTGAGAGGATTGGTTAAATTTACCCCACAGGTCTCTTTGGGACCTAAAACTCTTAAGATAGAGAAATGTATCATTGTTATAGTAAATGTAAGTAAGATTTTTTATGATAATAGAGATCGATAAATAGCATTTTGGTAAGTTCTTATTTTGAGAATGTCCAAAGAGTCATTTAGAGATTCAACAAGCATGTAGGCAGTAGGGTAGAATGCAGATTCTGGAGTTGTAGGCAGTTTTGGGTCTGAAATCCAGCTCCATCACTTCCTATTTGTGTAGCCTTTAGCTAATTAACTTAATCTCTCAGTTTCTCAGTTTGCTCATTTGTAAATGGGCGTAACAGTTGTCTATCTCAAATCATTGCCTGGTACATAAGAAACATCCAGAATATGGTAGCTGCTGTTATTATTTTTATAATCATCATCATTGTCATCATCAACACAATCAGGAATGTATAGAATCAGAGAAGCAGAAGCAGCTGTCACTTCATTATTCATCAATCCACTCTATATTTGAAACTTTTGATTGGTTATTTGTATTATCAAGTATACAATGCATCTGATCCCCTCATCCCATCTGGAAGGATATAATAGCTGAAAACCTTCTCTATGCCTCACAGGTTCTCCTTTGTAACTAAACCGCTCTCTCAAATTGGTGGTAGTGAAGTCCATTCACTTTGTGAAGGTCCAGTGATCTGGAAGGAAGCCTGGAACTCCTTGTGGCCTGAATGTACTCGCAACCTCTCCCCTTGTGAGTCCCTGCCACAGTGGCGACCGAGAAACCACCCTGCTGGTCACTAGAAGGTGTGCAATTGCTCCCCACTACAGACTCCTAGAGAGACAGGTATGAACCGTCGGTGGCCCTGAAACTCCCCTGCAGTGTTCTTCTACTAAATCCTCTCTGACTATATGTGACTTGACCTGGAAGTCCCCTTTTGTTTTGAGAACCTTACTGCCATTTCCAACCCTTCCTTCAGCTAACCTATGTCATAGCACCTGTGCCTTAATAACGAGTAATGCATGAGTCTGTCTCCCTTACTAGCCTAGATAAGAAGCTCAATAAATGTGTATGCAGTGGATAAAGGAATGTATGAACAAAACAATTCCCATCCTTGATAGTGATGTTCAGGATTTGCCCAAGACCAAGTTTTCAGACATCTCACAAATACTTTAACTCCTTCAAAATTTTGGAACCTGTCCTACTTCCCCCACCAGGAGGGCTCCCTCATGCCTGCCTATCACTGTCATGCATTCTTCCTGAAGCTCTACATATGTTATCTAATCTTCACTACAACCCTGAAGGCTGGTTGAGGACACCTAAAACTCAGAGTTATAAAGCCACTAGCCCAAGGCTCAATATGGGGAGCAAATAGTTTGGATTCCAGGTTTGTCTGACTCCAAAACCCAGTGCTCTTTCCACCATACTACATCGTCTCCAGAAAGAGGACCGGCAGGTGGTGAGATCTGTCACCTGGTTGTCCCATCGTCTCAGGTGTATGTGAGTAGAACTCCAAGGCTTTCACCAATAGGTATCACCGTTTTGAGGCATGAGAGCAGGTGGGTGGTAGAGTCTGTTTTGAATGTGGCAGAAGAGCTTGAAATGTCACCACAGCTGTCATGGATGTTTAAATTTCTTCTGGCTCAAGGGATTGTTCCCCATTAAAGCAATTGAATCTATCTGGGAGGAGGAGGGCATCTGCAGTAAGTCATTTACATCTTGTATGTCTTATCAATTCAAGCCCAAATGACATAGGTTTGGAAAGTGACATATATGTGACACATATGTCAGCCTAAAGAAAGAGGTAAACTGAGGCAAGCTCAAAGGACCAGAAATTGAGTTTATTTGGGAATAGTGGAGGAATTGCAATTTGGGAAATTCATGCTGTAGCGAGCTATAAGGGTTTGGGGTGGACTTGTGAACAAGGAATGCAAAGATGGGAAAGTCTAACCAGAGTCCAGGCGGTAAGTTCATTGGCTGGAGGATGAGGAGAGATTCTTGTTGGATGTTCACTGATGAGGAGACAAGCCCCATCTTCTGTAAATCAGCTGTTTGTGGGAAATCAGTGTCTCAGTTCTTAAGTTCTGTTCTTCTGAGGGCATGTGCATGAGATTCCTCATATAATATCCTCCAGTTCAATTTGAGGTTGCAGTCCTTTCCCATGGTGTAGTTATATATAGAGAGAAATGTATACTAATTAACATTAATAAACATATATTCTTTCACATAATGTGGTTCTAGAGAGATAATTATATATGAATATCAATAAAAATATTTTTTAATTAAGACAGCCTCTTGGTATCATTCTCCTGGATATGTGTTATGAGGAGATGTGTTAAATTAGTTTTTTTGTTTGTTTTTTGGAGGAAAATTTTAATTGTTCTTGAGTCATCTTATAAATATAAGAGATTGCTTTTGAAGGGAGTACAAAGAAGAATTTTGTGTATTTTAGTTTTCTAGAAGATTAATCTGTTAAATGTATGTTTTGGTATTTTTATAAGGGCTGCATTTATATATTAGAGTAGCTTGTTTTTTTTTTAATTCTAAAGCAATACGTTAGAACTAAGTTAAAGCAATGAAATTTCATACTTGTCATTTTTGCTGCCTTAGAATGGTCACAGTAGACTCAATGAAATATTTCTAGAAAGATATAAATACCATATTGTGTCTTTCTTCGTATTGTCAAAGTTTCAAGGTTTCTTTTTTTGTGGGCTTTTTTTTTTTTTTTGACACATCATGATAAAAGCAATATTAAGTTTGCATTTCTGGGAAGAGTTAGTTTCTTATTATAAAGGAGTTCATACTGGATTTAGTGTTATGAGGTCCCAAGAAACAGCATTTTTAAAATCAGAAATAGCCTGACAGGAGAACAATGTACATCATTAGATGCAATTGCTGCATAAGTGGTCTTTTTGTGTTAGAGAGTGCAGTTTACAGTAATTGAAAAAAATCCCATGTGCCATTTTCATTGTTTGCTCCATTTGTTTGCTTTCTATGTGATTGAATTTCACACAAAGGAGAGAATGAAAATAATTTTCAGGTGCATCATTGTATTTTCTATAGATTCTTTAATTTTTTTTTCCATTTTTTTTAACGTTTATTTATTTTTGAGACAGAGAGAGACAGAGCATGAATGGGGGAGGGTCAGAGAGAGAGGGAGACACAGAATCCGAAACAGGCTCCAGGCTCTGAGCCGTCAGCACAGAGCCCAACGTGGGGCTCGAACTCATGGACTGTGAGATCATGACCTGAGCCGAAGTCGGACGCTCAACCGACTGAGCCACCCAGGCGCCCCTAGATTCTTTAATTTTAGAGCTTAGCTCTTGTTAAGTATTCTTCAGGGCGTGTGTATTTGTGTGTGTGTGTGTGTGTGTGTGTTATGCCATTCAAAGAAGGAGAGTGACATTTCTTTTGAAACCAACCTCTGATTTGGTTGAATGTTACATTTTTTTAAAAAACAACAAAAATTGGCTTTCAATCACATTTTGAGTTTATTTCTAGACATTTGCCAAAGCACGCTTTATTGAAATTAGGAGACAAAATTATATTTTACATTTGCTAATGTTGTGTTTCCAAAGCCACAGAAACACAAATATATAACACTCTGCTACACAAATATTATTTTAAAAAAAAACCAATATATGAGATGCAGTTCTCAATCACACCATATTTTCCACATCTTTTTGTCAGTGGGTGTTTATACTTGGGTGAAATAAATTTGGGGAAAAGGATATATGTCCTCATTTTGAAGCAGCAGATCTTTGCTACTGTTTCGTTTTATGAATGGTGCATGGAACTGGCTTGTGGGAGTAAATGGGGAAACTGTAAGACATAAATAGAGTAACATTCAAGGAAATAGGGGAAAGGCAATGAAAATGGCTTGCATGGATAAACTGTAACTATAAACTCATGGATATGAGGAACAGAATGGTTTGCTTTTAAGTTTAATTTTTGTAACTTGCTGCTACTCAGCATCACTGTTAAGTACTTAACAGTGCATACTTAACAAGGCGTTTTCTGAACACAGATCTCTGAATCTCATTGTATTAGCTTTTAATTATTAAAAGGTGGTTCTGTGAGACTCAGAATCCTGTGAGCCATTGGGAAGAAGGAACTAGTGTAATTTTAGGAGTGAGGACAGTATTGATGGATCAGAAGGAAAGTAACTCAAAATTTTGTATTCTTATAAGAAAACTGTCCCTAAGAGAGAACTCTCCTCCTTTCAATTTATCTCTCACAAGAGATAATGAGTAAATGGGGATTCGGTATCATCCAATCGAGGCTTTAAGATTCAGACTTTAAAAAACACCTCATAGCTGTTTACTGAAATGATTTTGTCTAGAATATTATAATCAGCAGTCTTAGTGCAAATGCTCATGTTGTGTATTTACAGCATGTTGACTTTGGGATGCTCTGGGTGAGTTTCCATACCACATTTTATATTGTGTGAAAATTTTATTATTAAAATCTGTATTGGGGGCACCTGGATGGCTCAGTCGGTTAGGTGTCCAACTCTTGGTCTTGGCTCAGGTTATGCTCTTGGGGTTTGTGGGATTGAACCCCATGTCAGACTCTGTGCTGACAGCGTGGAGTCTGCTTGGGATTCTCTCTCTGCCCCTCCCCCATGCACATGTGGTCCCTCTCTCTCTCAGAAGCAATAAATAAACTTAAAAAAATCTGTATTGACTCATTAGGATATGTAGAAAATATGACAGGCATAGTGGCACAACTGACTTTTTTGAAAAGGAATAATCCAAGATCCTGGTGAATAATTTGTCGCCACTATAACATTTATAAAAATCTATGGCTCTAAGTAAGATACAGTCTTCAAACATGTATTCTTCTAACAAGCAGAATGGTCAGTGTTGGGAGACATTTTCCACGGGCCTCTCAAATTTCTGCCTATCTTGTGAGCAGATGCACTGACTGTATTTGTTCTAGACTATCCTTTCAAGGATGTTTGTATAGTGAATGGTCTTGGAAAATAGAGGTCCTGTCTCCTTCTGGAGAAAAGGAACAGGCTTATTTGCTGCCTATTATAAAAGATTCAGCGTTCCTCCCCTGTATTGCAAACCAGTGCATGTGCAGATGTTATCTGGGCCCTTTCATGTCACCTTGTGGGGATTGAGACTCTGGGAACCAGTGTAAGAGAGTGCTGATACTCTGGCTACTGGCATTGATATGAGGAATAATATACTTTGTGTCTGACTCAGGAGTCTCATGTCTTTTACCAGCATGCATAAAACTGTGGTAGGCTTACTGGTTAATTTACAAGTAAGATACAATCTCAGAGCCTTCATAGTCCTTGAGAGTTTTCAGTACCATAGTTCATAGACAAATTTCTTCTTTATGTGTGCCTGTAATTGTTAAGACCTTCCTAGATGTATAACTAATAAAAGAAATGATCTTCTAAGTAATACTGAATACTAGGGGCACCTGGGTGGCTTAATCAGTTAAGCGTTCAACTCTTGATTTCAGCTCAGGTCATGATCTCATGGTTCGTGATTTAAGCCCCAAGTCAGGCTCTGTGCCAACAGCATGGAATCTGCTTGGGACTCTCTCTGTCCCTCTCCCGCTTTTGGGCTGTCAGACTCCCTCAAAATAAATACATAAACTTAAAAAAAAAAAAAGGAAGCTTTTAAAAATACTAAATACTAAGTAATCTTCCAAAATAATTCTTAAGATTCTTAGTGTTGTCTTCCTTTCCCACCATATGCCCCACCTAAATTGTTAACTAGAGCCAATTTTCAATTGAAAATCTTTTTTAATGTTTATTTATTTTTGACAGAGAGAGACAGAGCATGAGTGGGGAAGGGGCAGAGAGAGAGGGAGACAGAATCCGAAGC